TGGTTCGATGCTGGACATCACGAATACTATGACAGAGGACACAGGACTAGTCACATTCCACAAGTTCTCCCTGAAGCTCCGACCAAGTTGTGAAAACGAGGTCGAACCAACACTGAAGCCTGCTTAGGTCTGCTATAATTGAGCATTATGAATAAAAGAGAAGCTGCACTTCATATAGAAGGGAAAACGACTCCAGAAAACGGATTATGCCAGCATAATCATGAAATATTTCTCTAAAAATTATTACTTAGCAATAAAAATTTTGAGATACCATTAAATGCAACTGATTTACCGCTAGAGTGGATTTTCGCAAGAATGGTTGTTTGAGGCTTGAGTCGCACACATCAAGAGAGCGGTGATTTGTAGCGGAAAAAGAGGTGTCAATGGCCGAATCCTCATTATCATGTGCCAGCGGAGAATGTACATCGGCAGTTACGATGAAGGAGCCGCAGCTCTCATTACTGCTAGGATTTGCCTGAAAGACAGAGCAAGCATAAGATACTAAAAGGTATAAACAGCGGGCGGATATCAATAAAACAGGGCCATAACTTGAGAATATGAATTTTAAACGAAAGGTATTATGGAATTCCGGGACAAATGACAACTTTAAATATCAGAGGGTTTAATTATCTCGGCTGCGTAAATCAAAATAGTATATTAATCACTAGACATACGTGGGTTTTTAAATAGAGTGCTAGCTAGATACCCTTATACCAAGATATCTTAATAAAAAGAATAAAAAAATATGCTAATGTCTTATTGTCCTGGTCAGTCAACGCAATGCATTAATGATGGACTACATGTAATGAATTCTTAAGCTCGTGATTTCAAGTGCATTGGCCTTTCTTGAATGGTCTATGACAGTGATTCCCAAACTGTGCACCGCTGCGCCCCGGGGAGCCGCAGCCTCTTTACAGGGGCGCCATAAAATATTGTAAAAACTTTAATTTTAGAAATGCGCAGTGACTTGCACGCTCATCCATTCAATTAATTATTAAATATTAATTTAATGTTAATAAAGTAAAAAAAAATAATGAAGATACACGAGTTTTATTTATTCTTATCTCTTACTTTCGAATAGTCATACCTAGTGTAATGCGTCATAAAAAAATTTTAATTCAAAAAAGGCGCCGCGACTAGGAAAAGTTTGGGAACCACTGGTCTATGGAATAAGGCTGCAAAAGATAAACTTAATGATTCATATTTTTTATAATTTCTACAAGTTTATTTCATAGCAATCTTTAATTAGACCGATGCGGGCGTGTAAATGCATATAAGTCATAAAGTTACCATACAAACCCATAAAGTTTTTTAATATGATAATTGTCTAGTAAAATAGCCTTTTAAATAAAAGAATCAAGTAACGAGAGAATCAATAAAACTAGCTTGAAATTAAGTGACTTTAGGAACCTGAAGGAAGTTTAGTCCAGCTAAATCTTTTCTACATACTGACAACATACAAGGCTGTCTTCTGAACTGCCTTGTGGCCCATCGGCACCGATGCGAATCGCCAAGGACGCAGGATGGTTTTGTTGGCATCGTCGCCCCTCCTTATGACGGCAATGTTTTCCATTGGCATTCTGGGTTGGCTCGGAAGAGCTGGCTGACCAGCGTGAGACTGCGGCCCGATGTGTGATGGCAGTCTCGGAGGCGTCAAGTTGGCTTGCAGGAGAGGTTGCTTGGTCAGCGCCTCTCTGAAGTTCTGTCCTGTAAACAGTTGCAACACCAGTTCTAGGGACCGAATGGGAAATCTTGTTTTGGTGAAGGGGATCAATACTTTTATCCGATACATGGACTCCACGAGTATGGGTCGAAATCGAGGATGATCTGGACGGGGTACGCGAGAGGGAGCAGCAGGATGAAGCCGATGAGTAGGAGTTGAGGCTAGTCAACAAATATGATGGGGAATTAGGCGATAATGTAACAGAGGGTGAGAAAGGAGACTGCAACAGAGGGACGTCAGATATCGACATAGTTGGCCAAGAGGATTTTGGAACAAATTTTCTGTTGACTGAAGGACTTAGGCGCCGAGCAACAATAAGGCGAATGTAGCCACAAGCCGAGGACTTAAGGTCAGAGTTATGGACCGAGACGTCTGTGGCGCCATTGTTGATAGGAGTGTTCGAGGAAGATGGGGAGGGGGAAGACGAACGACTGGAGGTAAGGAGTAATGGTTGTTTGGTCAAAAGATGGCTATAGATTGTCGACTTAAGTAGGCTCAGCGCATCAGAACTTGAGAGGCCAGAAAGTGGCTTGTCATCAATAGCCAAGAGGCGGTCGCCTATACGTAATCGACCATCCTGAGAAACAGTAAAAATAAGGAATGCGAGAGTGGGAAACAAATATATATAAAACGAAAATTATTGGGAATAATATGAATAAAATCCCAGCTGTACTATATTACTTAATACTACGGTTAAATATCAAGGCAGTTATCCTTAACTTAATAAAATGTGAATATGTGTAGGCATAATAAAAAAATGTGTAAAAAAATTTGAATTAAGTTAAGTGTCGATAAAATAAACCGTAATAATAGCGACATAACATAAAGAACAGCACTAAGAGCAACGCTATATAGCAGATAAAAAATTCAGCTCAGGTGAATGTACACATACTACTAACACGGTTACTAATATGGAATGATTGAAATTAAATATGATTCGGAAATATGCAAAGGTTTTAGTTTTGATTTTCAGTTTTGCACCTGAAAAGCAATTAAATATTTAATACATATTTAAAGGAATTTGTCAAACAAGCCTGAACTCTTTCTGTGTGAAAAGAGTTCCTTAGGAGAAATTACTAAATATTTAAATCCATGTATTGAAGAAAAGCGAACTCTAACTTTCAACTCTAAGGTGGACGAAAGGGATATGTGAATAGGTCGATGGAGGAATGCTTTGGAGTGGAAAGTGTTTTATTTAAAAGTCAAGTCATATTGAGGTATAAAGAGGTCCTTGAAAAGCCAGGTTTCCCATCAAATAAACG